CCCCCCCCCTTCCCCGCTAGGTGCAGATCAGGGGCAGCCCCGCAACAATCACATTGAGGGAACAAATTCGGGCAGAACAGAAATGAATATGAAGAAACACTTCAAGTCTTCAAATATAAATCACTAGTTAAAAGAAATAACAAAATTTTACCCTTCATTATAGCAGCACAAACCTCTGAGGGCCTCCAATATGAACAAAATAGTTTATATATATTGCTTCCAATATATGTAAACTATTTTGTTCAAATAATCAGCACTTCCAGTAGGTCGGTATATTATACAGAGCAATTTTGAAAGCGCTAAAACATGAGAGTATATTATGAGTTCCAAAAGTCTACATTAGCAAGGATAAGGATATTCCAAGCGATCTAACAGTCATTCAAAATTAGTGTTTGACTATGTTCTACAAATTTCCATTTATTTGCTGCTACTTGGTGTAACTATCCTTATAAACACAAATATAGTTCTGTAAAAAGAAGTCATAAAATTATAATGACATTTTTGTTACGAGTACTTAAACTGTTAATGTAGTAAATGTTTAAAGAGCAATGTTTCTGAACTTCTATTATTTTAAACTGAATCAGCTAAATCAAGGCAATCAAGGCCACGTTTTTTCCAATACGAATATCCTTTTGTGCGAACCATTCGCCCAAACAGAGAAAGAATCTGGTTAGGAAGACAATGTGATGGAAAATGCTTAAGACAGTCATCATTTCAAAAAACAGCTGCAATTGTAAAAGAAACAAAATTTTGAGTTTGAACCAAGTGCTCTAAGACAGAATGGAAACTAATAAATTCCTACACTAAAAAGTCATCAAAGAACAATAAAACCTGAAATTCCAATCTTTCAGCACTCAGAAGTCTGATTGCCTTATTTAAAAAACTATCCTTTTTTGCATCCTAAAAAATTGCTGTTTTTCCCAGTCGGGAACAAGCTCTAAATCCATCATATCCGTAACGAGCTGAGCTACTAAATCTCCGACACCTACTGAAACCAAAGTGGAAAATGAGACTGGTAAAGTACTAGCAATTTTCTGCAAATCATAGACAATTTTGCCACCCGGCTACTCCGATAAAATAAAAGGATAACAGAGAAATACTATTCGGAGTTTCCTCACCACTCACAAGGTTTAATTTGAAAAAGGCCACGGCGGAAAAACGTTACACAAAATTCTGTTGCTCCAATGTCCTAACACACAAATCTTACGATGCTTTATCTACGGTGATTTAATGTAAGTCGAAACTACCATTTGCACTGTGCCTTTGGTTTGTTACTAAATGACTTTAGATTGAGAATATGAAGAAACTTCCGCGCAGTAATTGATATCTTGATAGCAGTAAGCTCAGATTTAGGTTACTTGAAATCAAATCAACTAGCGTTTCCCAAAAGTCTGCATAAATAGGTCAATGATTATAAATTCTGAATACGGAAAGTGTATTAAACTAGCTAGGATTACATACTGCAGTTTTAACTACCTAACTGTTAAAAAATAAAGCAAAATTTCAATGACTTTCTAGTCATCATGTAACAAAAAAGCGTGCCCAGAACGCTAATAGAAGTTCCACTTAATTTTTCCTTAATGTTACAATCAAAATACAGATAGACTAAAAAGGAATAAAAAATAACGAGGATTAGACAGATAAAGAGGAAAGTTTCTACTACAGAAACGATTAAAAAAAAACAACTACCTGTAGCTGGAAACTCGAGAAGGGATTATGCTGCGAAATAGCCTCCAGCATACGATTTCGGAAGTTTAAGGTGCGTTGGAAACTAGGTAAGAAGGCAGGATATCTGAAAGTCCAAGCAGAACTTTAAAAGAGCTCCTCTGTCCCAAATTTCTCAAACTGCGTGTCTAACGATGGAAACTAAATTTTGGTAGCATCCCTACTGCCCTATCTACAGAGATCATGTACTTACGTTACAGGATATCGGGAAGGTCGACAATTCCCATTAGGTAACGACTCAAATTCTACTTCTATATCATTGGTACTGTCATCATTGGTTTGAAAATGAGTAGCAACTCCTCTTCGCCGATTATATTCCAGTCGGCTGAAAAACAAATAAACAACGCTTATCAAATTATTGTGAAATTATTAAACTACTGAATACCAAAACATAATAATAATAACAAAAACAACGATAATGATGATAGTAGTAATAACAATAGTAATAGTAATAGTTAATAGTAATAATAATAATAATAAAAATAAAAGTAAAAGAAAGTTGAAAATGAGAGTAACACGTGACAGGAAATTAAGTAATTAGAAGCAAACCTGATGTAAGAGCTGTTTTCGTCAAAAAGTTCCAGAGACTGCATACTCGATGCAAACTCAAAAAGTAACTGTGCAAAATGGTCGACACGGAACCGAGAACAAGCAAGTTCATTTGCTAGCGCTACAGTAAACTGCGGTTCATTTACTTGTGATACAGTCATAAGCTGGTAGACTCTTTCAGAAATTGCAGACAGTGCATTATCTCCCTGCATTTTTTTGTAGTTAAAAAGGGCAATGATAAAAGCTACTGTTAGCCTTGATGGCTCCATCAAATTTTCGGAGGAATAACGAATTTGTAAGGCAGCCTCCCCAACGAAAAAACAATAAAAACTAGAAAAAGGTATTTCCCAATCTTCCAATCTAAATTTGAAAAAGAAGGACTGACAAGACTAAGTTAAAATGTAATGTAAAAGCCTGGTATGATAAAGAAAAATCCCTGGAAAAATACTTTCGCTGTGACATGCATATATCTTAACACACGTTAATGATGCAACGGCTACGCAGTAAACAAACTGCAATTTTTCAGAACTAATTCGGGCACAAAGCTCCACCCCCTCCTTCTCTCCCCACCAAAAAAAACGGTAAAAAGTAATACCATTCTCATCGGGCTCATCATTGCTGCAATCTCCCGCCGAATGAACGGAAATAATCGTGGCTTTTGCTCCCTCCATTCTAACTCAAAAAAACGGGGCGTCACAGTCACTCTTTCGCTTTCATCATCTGTCACCAAAGGCACTCGTACCAACATTCTTTCATAAACAAGTATACGAAATGTTGGGTCAGCAACAATGTCTCCACTAAAACTGGCTTATCTATGCAATCACTATTAGTTTAAAAAAAACGACAACACAGACAATAAAGAAGGAACCAAAAAACGCCGCCTAAGTCAGAATAAATATACCGCGGACGATCCCAGTTCTCTCTAAGCACTGTCAGACGATTAATGAGTTCTATGTTCATAAGCCTGTTCACCTCCGTTGGATCATCTTTAGAAAACTTCAAGCCACGTCTTCTTCCTCTGGAAGCGAAAGTATTATATCACACAGCAAGTATCAAAAAAATGTTCTTAGCTTTTTAAACAAATCCTTAGCCAATTTCAAAAAAGACCACTTAAAACTGTTAAAACCGACTCCGTTGAAGAGAAGGAAAAATAAGAGAAGCAAATGCAAGTAAAATGAAAACCTTCGAAAATAACTCTCAATTTCTCGATTATTACGCCGTAATTTCTTCAACAGAATATTTAGCTCATTTTTTTCATTATCCATAGGGCGAGAAGAAGCATCTCTACGAAGCGCCTCAAGTTTTCCAACCGCCTGTATTTCTTCTGTAGTAACACTGAAAACCTTTAACTGAGCAAAAGAAGAATATATAAAAAATACAGTTCAGCAAACAGGAACAGACACTTACGTATCAAAAATCTCTCTTTCCGAGTACGGATCGCCAGAAAAGTTGTGAAATAACTTCTTAATTGGTCTTTTGCAGATACAACACTCTGCCTTGGTTTTAATCCATTCCGATGCGCAGCTGGAAGTGATAAGTTTTTAATGCCTACCTCCAGTGTTTATAATTATTTTACATACTACTTCGAACTAAGGATACTTCACTTTGAAATATATTTAAAACACTGAGTGATCTGTCACAAGAAATGACTATAGAAAAAATCCATAGCGGTTACTTGTAGAAGTAATCTTCAAACCGTACTAAAAACAAAAACGATGTCGGCAAGCATCAGTCCGAGTTTCATCCACGATTTCAAGAAAACATATTGGGCATTGTTTTTCTCGTATTTCCTCTTTTACAAATGTGTCTCCATTATCTGCTTGAAAAAATTTATGAAATGAAAATGTCTCAGAAAAAATTAGTGCTAGTTCAGTAAAAAATAAAATGTACAGGAAAGAATTCATGAGTAGAAAATATGACACAAAAAAAATGATAGCAATTTAAAATTTAAAAATAAAAAAGTAATGCACTTCAATAAACAAAAAACAAAACTTGCTTTGACAAGAGAACCACTC